GCCGGCGCATAAGGTTGACAACCTCACCGCTATCTGTGAGCCGACCGCCTAGAGAAAATGTGGGAGCCTCGACATCTCACAACCCCATGCGCCTTCGCGGCATGTTACAGGGATAGCTTTACCTTGAACTGTAGCTAAGAAAGTGAAGTTCGGTGTTAGCCTGCCGATGGCGTGTGGTTAGCGTGACGTAGTGACCATTTGGCAACCACGCATCAGGTGTATGCAGTGAAAAATATAATCGTGAACTTAACGACCTCCCATTGCGCGGTTAATCTTAACCCAGCCCCGCTTTCTTTGGGAATTCCCTGCAGTTACAGCGGGGTGATGGGAGCTGCAGAATTCTGAAATTGACGTCCCTCCTATACAAGGGGGCAGCGTTCTTCATAATCTTTCTTACTGTGATTTCAACAATGTCTCTGCAGTGCACTTTTCACGTCTCTTTCCTTCCTGAACTTCTAATTTCTATTAAGTTCTACTGTTAAAAATTTTAGCTGTTTTCCGCAGTCTCTCCAGGCAAAACATGCGACAGTAGTTTAAAATAATCCACGATTGCTTCCTTCCGTCCGTACGGTTTACATGATCTGTGTAGCTGTAAAAAGTATTCATACAATCCAAAAATCAACGTAATTATAATGTAACTCAAGGGGTGGAAAGCGAGGCAATTCCTGCCTCTTTAGCAAGAGGTTTGGACCAGCTATTCCAAAATATGACCTTCGACTACTTTACAAAATAAAGCAAAAGCCAAAATTAGACAAATTCAACGTCAAATTTCCTTTCAAATATGTTGCTTTCTTTTCTGTATAACTTGATTAATCATTTGTGTACACAATCCCTGGATAAAAAGTAAGAAAGCTATCCCTTTAACAGGTCGTAAAGGCCCATAGGGTTGTAAGACTTGAGGGTCCCACATTATCTAGATAATCGGCTCAAAGATTGCGGTAAGATTGACAACCTTACACGCCGGCCGCGCTTTACTCCCCAGAAAAACTATTTAATTAATTCCTGGTACTCATTTCTGTTAGAGGCTGAGTCGACCTCAGGGCCATAGTGCGGCTGGAAGGATTAGGTCAATTGAAAAGAATCCAATGACCTCATCGGGACTTGAACCCGCGACCTTCCGGCTTGTAGCATAGCTACCGCGTGCCCCCCACGCACTCCCGGGATACCACAGTCATTACAACGACCAGACCGCGGGTAGGAAGCCCAAGAAATCGGATCAGGTTCTCGGCAGGGGCAAAGGTTTTCTTTCGTCCATGTTTTCCTGATCAGCTTTGGGACCCACTCAGTCCCCTGTTCAGTGGTTGCCAGGGACATTTTCCCTGGGAACAGAACGACTAGATTTTGAATCTAACCGCTCGACTCCACATAATGCCAAAATTAAGAATGCGTCGAGGTATACACACACTTCCTTATGTGCCTTTGTGATATTTTGCATTAATCAGCAAGGGAAAACCGTGCCTTGCCTTGTCTAATCTTCTCATTGGTTTTCATGTTCTAAGACTCCTGAAACTTGGTGGAAACTGCAATAAGGCTCATTATTTCAGAAAACAGGTTTTGACATACATTAACTGAAACAGAAATAAAAAACGAAACGAATACAAAAAAATTGTTTTGAGCAATTCGGAGGGCAATCTTCAGGGGACGATGGGCGGGTATGAAGAGTGCTCCGCGGTTCCATCAGCTGCAAGTGTACGTCGCCATGACGTAGCTACGTGGATCTTTGCGTCATCATTATAATGACACTAAATTCTATTTTCAGCACACAGTGAGAATAAAAATCGCAGTATCAGAGGTCCCGTTGAGCATACGGGACTTTTCCTCAGTTCGCTTGTCAAGTGAAAGCATGATGTACTCTCAAAGATGTTTAGACGAAGAAAATAGTCCACTTCTTTTTTTTTTTAATTCGCTTAGTGGGGAGTGGAGCCCAAATGGGTCCACTCGGCACGCCGGCCACTGATTGGCCTATTGTAGCCTTCCCCGGGTGATTACGATGATGGAGAATTTGGTGGAATGAAGATTGGCAGGGGAAACCGAAGTACTCGGAGAAAACCCGCCCCAGCGCCACTTTGTCCACCACAAATTCCACTTGAGCAGACCCGGGATCGAACCCGGGCCGCCGCGGTGGGAAAGCTATGGCGCGGTCTAGTCCATTTCTTTGTATCAACACCAGTTTCCCTGTAATTCTAACGTAGTTCTACATTCCACTATATTTTTAATTTTTTTTTTCTGTGGCGCTAGAGCCCCAATTTTGGGCCTAGGCCTACCTCCATGAAACTCTCTGTTTCACTTCGGTTTTTCTAGATCTTACACATTCGGTAGGACTCCTTGGGCGGGTGATCAGCTCGTCGCAAGGCCTCTACCTGTACACAAACACAGAAAAACGCACACAAACATCCATGCCCTGAGTGGGATTCGAACCCACGATCCCGGCTTTCGAGCGAGCGAAGACAGTGCATGCCTTAGACCGCTCGGCTACCGTGACCGGCTATATTTTTGTAAGATAATTTACATACATATATTTATCTTATTTCTTATGTAATCAATTTCCTTTCCGTTTTTTTTTGTTTCACTGTTTTAGTTCCCTTCTTTCAAATTTATTTTTCCCCCTTTTCTCTTTATGCGACTTTTTAATTCCAGTTTTTGTTTCTTTGTGCTTTCTATTTCCTCGCTGGGTGAAAGACCATTCACATACAACTCCCAAACACGTTACATATTCAAGGTCATAATTTAATGCTAAAATTATGTGACACACGAATGAGTTTCGTTGGCAGCCCCCCTCCCCGCAAATGATAATTGTGTGATTACTAAGCGGAAGTCCGTAAGGACAAGTTGCACAAAATAGTGATAATTGCGTGACTTTCGATATTTGAAAAACAGTTAAGTTGTATACACTCTTTCATGTACTTTAAAGCCTTCAACCTAAATAATGGACACTTTAGCCAACATAGAGACTAGATAATTGGCTGGATGATCAGAGGTCGATTCCCGGCAGAAATGGGATATTCCTTTTCAGTGACACTTCTAGACCAGGCGTTGTGTGGTCCATTCAGCCTCTTGTTTGACATGCGCAGTGGACTCAGTGCCCTGGGGTAATACTGCTCAACGTCAACTTGCTGTCAGCAACTGCGACTGCAGAGCATCGAATTATATGCTGTAATTACAGTAAATTTTTAACTGGAAATGTGTTCAAGAAGCGGTTGTGTCTTACTGTATCTGTTTGTTCTCGTTGATTCCACTTGGAGCAGAGTTCATCCGTGAAACGCTTCGTTTCACTTCAGTTTCTTAATCTTAGACAACTGGTAGGACTCCTTGGACGGAGGATCAGCCCGTGGTAAGGCAACTACATAACATAAACACAAAATAGACGCGGAGAAACACCCATGCCTTGAGTGGGATTCGAAACCACGATCCCGCTCTTCGAATAAGCGAAGGCAGTTCATGCCTTAGGCCGCACGGCCGCTGTCAACTGCGACCGTGTCTTGATTTGAGGAAATATTTTGGTATTACTTTGAGTAACTGATGAAAGCCACCAAAACCCTCAGTAGGGGTAGTCAGTATCCTGGCCTATATTCGAAAGGGACATATCCCAGACACAAGGCAGAAGCATCGCCGCTTGAGCGGTCAAGAATGTAGAGAGATGTGGTGCAGAATTAAACACAGGAAAGAATGGGTTAGCTCTTCGCTGACGTATGTGAGTGATACTTGCGATATGGTCGAATCGAATTCTTGTATCGCATCTTCACTGTGCTCCGTAGCCCGTGTCAGTTCTCTAAACAAACGTGTACTGTAAGGATCAATAGGTTACGATACTTGCTTCGTTTTCGGGAGGTCTCAGGTCCAAAAGTCGACCCAAAGACAGAATAACCTTGCTAGG